TACCTCCTGTTTTGTTATTCCCGAACTGGAAGGGATTGTTTTCGATTTTGGTGCAGCGGTAGCACCACTTTGTAAAAGTTAAGCTATTAAGAACGACGTGAATCTGTCACGTTTTGTATTTCTTTTTTTTCATCTGGTGCTTCACTTTCTGAAAGGGTCATACCGCCAGAAAATTGACGCAAATGCTTATTGAAGTCCCTCCAATATTTTCATAAGAAGTCTTCAATTTACAGAATGTGAAAACAGACAAAGTTTTTAAATAAAAAATAAACTTACATTCACACACACAATAAAACTGCCTTTGATATACAGTTTCCTAAAAATGTCTGAAAATAATCTGCTTACGTAACCAACTGAAACTAACATGTCAGTTATTTCAAAATAAAGTTTTTTTTCTTCTGCTGCACAGGATTGAAAAACCTATTTATGCATACAAAAATACATAGTGCCGGCACCGGTTTTCTAGAACACGTTGCCAATTTATCCGTACACTAGTAAAGTCCATCAAAGCAAGTTTCGGCACTGCAGTCCTCCATACGTGTATGGAGAATCCCACCTTCCACTATTCACCACAATATATCTAGCAGTCATGAAAGCTAAATCCTTCCCAGCACATCATTTCCCAATTTGTCATTGAAGGTATTAGTCCTCATCTGCTTGATCCTGGAAGAATTCATCAAAGTTCTGTGACTTATCCTCCTCAAGTTCCTAATAACACAAAAAAGATTCTAAAAGTCAAGAATAGAACAAAGACAGTGAAAGTAAAGAAATAAAATTATGGCACGAAAAATGCAACATGGTTGTTTTGATACTTTTTCTAAAAGGCAGAATCAAGATATTTATTGCTGTCTGGCAATGCCACAATAACCGTTTGACCTAAAATTGTATTAAAGCGATGTAAAGGCTAGGCTTTTTTAAAAATATTAAACATGTTATACTTACCTATTCTGTGCAATGGTATTGTACAGAGCCGCCCTGAACCCCCTCTTCTAGGGTCCCCTGCTGGAGATCTCGGTTCCTGCTCTTCTCAGTGCTCCACCATAGGAAGTTGCTTCCTCTGGAGGCGAACGTGCAGGCTTGCTCCTGAGCTGGGCTGTGTGTGTGTCTATAGGCACACACAGCACAGCTCGGCCCTGCGCCCTCAAAATTGTTTTGCCTTTAGAACCACTTTAACTCTGGACAGACTCTCACAGCCTTAGCTATATTTAGTTGTTACAATAAAAAACAGGCTTCCTGCATTTAGCAATAGACAGTATATGCACCCCATTCCCCAGCTGAACACAAATACAGTGCCTTGAAAAAGTATTCATACCCCTTGAAATTTTCCACATTTTGTCATGTTGCAACCAAAAACGTAAATGTATTTTATTGAGATTTTCTGTGATAGACCAACACAAAGTGGCACATAATTGTGAAGTGGAAGGAAAATGATAAATGGTTTTCACAATTTTTTACAAATAAATATCTGAAAAGTGTGGCGTGCATTTGTATTCAGCCCCTTTTACTCTGATACACCTAACTAAAATCTAGTGGAACCAAATTGCCTTCAGAAGTCACCTAATTAGTAAATAGAGTTCACCTGTGTGTAATTTAAGCTCAGTATAAATACAGCTGTTCTGTGAAGTCCTCAGAGGTTTATTAGAGAACATTAGTGAACAAACAGCATCATGAATGCCAAAAAACATATCAGACAGGTCAGGGATAAAATTGCGGAGAAGTTTAAAGTAGGGTTAGGTTATACAAAAAATATCCCAAGCTTTGAACATCTCACTTAGCACTGTTCAATCCATCATCTGAAAATGGAAAAAGTATGGCACAACTGCAAACCTATGGATGTCCACCTAAACTCACAGGCTGGGAAAGGGGAGCATTAACCAGAGAAGCAGCCAGGAGGCCCATGGAACTCTGGAGTAGCTGCAGAGATCCACAGCTCAAGTGGGAGCATCTGTCCACAGGACAACTCTTAGTCATAGCACTCCAGAAATCTGGCCTTTATGGGAGAGTGGCAAGAAGAAGAGCCATTGTTGAAGGAAAGCCATAAGAAGTCCCGTTTGCAGTTTGCGAGAAGCCATGTGGGGGACACAGAAAACATGTGGAAGAAGGTGCTCTTTTCAGAATTGAACTTTTTGGCCTAAAAGCAAACTGATTTGTGTGGTGGAAAACTAACACTGCACAACACCCTGAACACACCATCCCCACTGTGAAACATGGCGGAGGCAATGTCATGTTATGGGGATGCTTTTTTTCAGCAAGGACAGAGAAGTTGGTCAGAGCTGACGGGAAGAAGGATGGAGCCAAATACAGGGCAATCTTAGAAGATTTGAGACTGGGACAAAGGTTCACCTTCTAGCAGAACAGCAACCTTAAGCATACAGCCAGAGCTACAATGGAATGGTTTAGATTAGGGGTGTCAAACCGGCGGCACTCCAGCTGTTGCCAAACTTCAAGTCCCATCATGCCTCTGCCTTTGGGAGTCATACTTGTAACTGTCAATCTTGCAATGCCTCATGGGACTTGTAGTTTGGCAACAGCTGGAGGGCCGCCAGCTTAACACCTGTGGTTTAAATCAAAGCATATTCATGTGTTAGAATGGCCTAGTCAAAGTTCAGACCTAAATCCAAATAGGAATCTTTGGTAAGACTTGAAAACTGCTGTTCACATACGCTCTCCATGCAATCTGACAGAGCTTGAGCTATTTTGCAAAGATGAATGGGTAAAAATTTCACTCTCTAGAAGTGCAAAGCTGGTAGAGACATCCCCAAAAAGACTTGCAGCTGTACTTGCAGCGAAAGGTGGTTCTACAAAGTATTGACTCGGGGGGCTGAATACAAATGCACACTATACTTTTCAGATATTTTTTTTGTAAAAATTTTTTAAAACAATTTTGCTATATTCCTTCCACTTCACAATTTTGTGCCACTTTGTGTTGGTCTATCACATAAAATCCCAATAAAATATATTTATTGTTTTGGTTGTAACATGACAAAATGTGGAAAATTTCAAGGGGTATGAATACTTTTTTCAAGGCATTGTATTTCCCTGGATATTCAAATTATTAACCACACCATGAAGTGCTATTCAAAAGTGATCAAACCTCCCACTACAAGAAATTTCAGTAAATATTTCCGGTGCACAATAAATTATAAACATATTTTGGTGCTCCATAATGTGCAATTCAAATAATAAGTAACAAAAGTGTTGCTCAATCCAAACACTATGCGCCAAAATATCCCCTCTTTATCCACTTGCCCTCCTGAGGATTTACCCCCCTCTTCCTGACCAGGCCATTTTTTGCGTTACAGCGCTGCGTCACTTTAACTGACAATTACGCGGTCATGCAACGCTGCACCCAAATGAAATGGACGTCCTTTTTTTCCCACGAATTGAGCTTTCTTTCAGTGGTATTTGATCGCCTATGAGGTTTTTATTTTTTATAAAGAGTTTTAAAAAAAGGACTGACAATTTTGAGAAAAAAACACCCAATATTTTTTGACTTTTTGCTATTAAACATGTCCAGTACAAAAAAAAAAAAAAAAAAAAAAAAATCAAATTTCGCCATAAATTTAGGCCAACATGTATTCTCCTACATGTCTTTACTAAAAAAAAAAAAAAAAATCCCAATATGTGTAAATTAATTGGTTTACGTGAAAGTTCTAGCATTTACAAATGGCGGTATAGATACTGGGATTTTTTTTTTTTTTTTTTAAACTAGTAATGGCGGCAATCAGCGACTTATAGCGGGACTGCGGCTGGCATTCTGACACTGCGGGAAACTGACTTGGTGTCACTGACATCCCCAGTGACACCAATACAGTGATCAGTGCACAGACACTGTACTAATGGCACTAGGCAGGAAGGGGTTAACATGAGGGGCGATCAAAGGGTTAACTGTGTGCTGGGAGTGTCTTACTGGAGGGTGGTGTGTTGGTGCTTCACTGTAAGCACACTTCTCTGGATGGCTGTGCTCTGCGAGCCATCCAGAGCAGTGTGCCCGAGCCGACAGGAAGGAGGACTGTTAGCAAACAAAGCAGCCCTCCTCTCCGTCGGAGATCCTCAGCAATCACGGCGAAGGTAGGGCACGCGTGCGCCCCCCTACCCGAAAATACAAACTCACGTATATATCCACGTGAATTTGCGCACCCCTGAAGCCCTGTAGCAGTATATCTGCTATAGGGCGGTCAGGGTGTGGTTAAACTGACCAAACTCCAAAATATGACTTCAAAACCAACTTAAAGAAATCAGTATCCCCAGAACAGTTTCAATCATGTGTAACTCTTCTAGTGTAATCTCCTCTCCTGTGCTCATTTCTTTCCCACCTCCACAATGCACTCACTATATTTTATATATATCTGAGACAAAGAAAGCCCATATAGCATAATACTGTTTATTAAAAACTTAAAAAGTGTGTGTTCATTCACACTGAACAGTGTTTATCTTGGAACCCCGGATAATAGCACCAATATTCAATAGGGGCACCGTCCCATCTGCTACTGCATACAATATGAGAGCATGCTCTTCAAATTAGCGGAGGTGACATATCAGCCCAGGCTCAGCTCAAAATGGTTCTACATCCAGGGCGTTGACAACATCCTGGACGTCGAAACACATTGGGAGAAGCCTGGGTTGATATGTTACTTCCACTAATTGGAATATTTTGTATGCAGTAGCAGGTGGGGTGGTGGAGCTAAGAAGTAGAATTGAGGGGATGTGGAGAAATGAGCACTAGGGAGAAGGTGCACTGTAGCACTGGCATTTTGGATTTATTGATAACTCTCTAAGTTAGGTAAGATTTTAAAGTCACATTTTGGTCAATTTAACCACTTTCTGTCCAGCCCATGTATACAAAGGGCTGGACGGGTGCAGTGCAGGGGCGGGTGGCTGTTTATAAACGGCCTCCCCGCTCCCTGCTTTTGCACGCTCCCTGGGAGCGAGCAGCACGGCGATCTGGTGCCCGCTGTGTCCGGAGGAACACCTATCATTGTACAGGACCTCCGTGTGAGGTCCCAATCATGTGATCACTGATTGGCCAATCAGTGATCACATGAAGAGTAGTAAGCATGATGTCACTTCTGACATCATTGCTTACTACGTGTGAAATCTGTGAATGATCAGAGGTCACATGGTACAAGGCTATTCACAACAGCTTTGTACCATGTGACAAGCTGTGCCCAATCACAGGTCACACAGTATTTCTCAATGGCTGTAAGAATGCAGCCAGAGAGAAGGAGAAGTGATTGCTTTTACAGGATTGTAAAAGCAATCAGTGTGAAAAAAAAAAACCCATCTTCATCACCCCCCACAAGTAGTACAGTGTCACTATGGTGACAGTAATGTAAAACAAAACAAATAATAATATAAAAAGTAAAATAAAAATGTAAAAAATGTTTTTGAAAAATTATATTTTTTGGTTATAAACTAATTTGGCTTATTTTTTTTACTAAAAAGATAACTGAATACATTTTGACCAAGATTTATGAAGAAAGATTATTTGCAAAATTTTATAAGAAAAACACTTTTCAAAATTTTTGGACTCATTTAAATAGCAAAAAAAAAAAATTAAAATCCCACCAAAAATACCACCAAAATAAAGTGTTATCTGTCTAAAAAAAAAATACAAAAAAAAAAAAATACTAAAAAATTCATGACCGCGCAATTGTTATTCAAAGTGTGATAGCGCTGAAAGCTGGAAAATGGCCTGGACCGGAAGGGGGTAAAAGTGTCCGAACTGGAAGTGGTTAAAAGATACTATTTTGGGGAACTGTGAATTGACTAAGCACTGTGCATGGATTGACCAACACTTTTTCCCCATTTACCATTTGAATTGCACAATATGAGCCCTAAAAATATGATTTTGTTTATATTTTATTAAACATCGGATATATTTACTGAAATTTATTGTAGTGGAAGGTATTTTTACTTTTATGTATAGCACTGTAGGGTTTGATAATATATTGAGTTGCTGACAGTCCATTCAATCTGATTGTACAACCTCCTTTAGATATACCAACAGCTATGTAGTGCAAGGACCTGCCTGACTGGATACAGATTGAGTGGACAGATAAGATAGGCCCTCACATTACATAGTTTTGGTAAATCTAAATTTGGTTGTACAAAGTTTATACGATCAGGCTAGGCTGTAGGGTGTATAGTGATACTTCTATATGAAATTAATTAAATATACAGTTTTTAGTTTTCACTGAAATTCACTCACCCTTGGTTCTTTGAACTCCAGATCTTCCCCATACTGGATGGAAACATCTATATGTTGGAGCACAATGTTTATGCATTCTTCATCTGAGCGATCAAATGGTAAAAAACGGACAATACTGTAATCATCGATCTATTAAACCAAAAAAGAGACATGATTGATGTGCAACACACACACACATGTAACAGAGCTACACTGTCGATTCAAATTAACAAACTTTCAGCGAAGGAAAATAATTTCACTACAACCATTGCTCGATTTGGAAATTTACCACAATGCCTAGATTGTGAAATTGGAAAGTATAAAACCCTCTCTGACTTCAGACACAACCACAGGATGCTTTGCTAGTCATCTTTTTTCTGTAAATATTAATATATTTATAAGTATGTGGTACAACCTGAAATAATCACCGGCCTTCCTATGAACAGCAAAGTAATTACATAAGGATATCCTGCTCTAAGCATGATCTTAAAAACTGTAGACCAAGGTTGTGACATAATGTTACATGTTCACATTACAAAAAAAAAAAAAAAAATGTACAAGAGCAAACACCACCTGTTAGAGGGTGGTATATTTGTTCTCCATGGCATGTAGGTATGTGGCCACCCTTTGTTGCAAGCTCCCGAGATTGATTAGGGACTGTAGACTATGGTATTTGCAGTGTGCATAGAGCAGTGTACATGACTGCAACAAATATGCATTGCTCATGCTAAAAAAAACAGAATTGGGAAGGGAAAGGAGAGGTTCAGGAGCTCAAAGAGGCTGTTACAAGGAGGCAGAAAAACAGAGTAAGACATTTCATGAAAAATAGATTACCCGGGCCATAAAGTAGTGGATGCGCATGGCTTATTTTTTGGAGAATAAGGTTGTTGTTTAGTGTCACTTTAATCACTTCCTGACCGCGCTATTGCTGAATGACGGCTACAGCGAAGTCATCCAGTTCTGGGACGGCGTTATGACGTCCTGCGAGAACAGCGCACGCTCCCAGCCGTGCACACCCAGCGCTGTGAATGCAGTGTCCTTTGGACACAGTTGATCACATGACACGGTAAAGGGCCAGTCACAGCAGCCTTTTACCACATGATCAGCTGTGTCCAATCACAGCTGATCACCATGTAAATACACTTGACGGTTATCAGCAGTACTTTCCTCGTGCTGTCACAGCGTTAGGAAAGTACTGCCGATAACCGGCAAGTCTGAAAGGAGACATCTACATTCATAATCAGGGCACTGAATATCAGTGCAGCCACAAAAGTGCCCAGCAGTGCTGCCAATCTGAGCCCAGCAGTCAGTGCGGCCTATCAGTGCCCATCATTGCTGCCTCATCAATGCTCATCAGTGCAGCCTATCAGTGCCCATCAGTTACCCGTTTGCAAAATGTTATAAAAAGGAACTAAAAGTCTTTTTTTTTTTTTTTCTTCAAAATTTTTGTTTGTTTAGCAAAAAATAAAACACCCACTGGTGACTAAATACCACCAAAAGAAAGTTCTACTTGTGTGAAAAAAAAATTATACAAATTTTATATAGGTACAGTGCTGCATGACCGTGCAATTGTCAAAATGCACAGCACTGAAAGCTGAAAATTGGCCTGGCCAGGAAGGGGGTAAAAGTGCCCGGTAGGCAAGTGGTTAAGTAATGACAAAGTCATGAATCAAAGTCTGAATCCATAAACCCATAGCTGGAGGTTAAAATATCTCCGATGTGTAAGGAATGTACAGGTGTGAGAGCTGAACTGGTTAACCACCTGCCCTCTGGAAGATTTACCCCCCCCCCCCCCCTTCATGACCAGGCCATTTTTTGCGATACAGCGCAGCGTTTTTATAACTGACAATTACCCGGTCATGCAACGCTGTACATAAATGAAATTTATGCAATTCTTTTCCTACAAATAGAGCTTACTTTTGGTGGTATTTAATCACCTCTGCAGAATTTTGTTTTGCACTATGAAGACTGACAATTTTGAAAAAACAAACAATATTTTTGACTTTTTGCTATAAAACATATCCAATAAAAAATAAAAAAAAATTACATTTCTTCATAAATTTAGGCCAAAATGTATTCTGCTACGTCTATGTTAAAAAAAAAAAAAAATAAATCCCAATAAGTGTATATAACTTAGTTCACGTGAAAGTTATAGCATCTACAAATGGTGGTTTATATACTGGAATTTTTATTTATCTATTTTTTAAAACTATTAATAGCAGCAATCAGCGACTTACAGAGGGACTGCGGTGGGCATTCTGACACTGACAATGGGAGGGAACTAACTGCCACGGACATCTCCAGTGACACAAATACAGTGATCATTGCTAATAAAAAGCACTGATCACTGTACTAATGACATTGGGCAGGAAGGAGTTAACATCTGGAGCGATCAAAGGGTTAACAGTGTGCTATTTTGTGCCTAATGTGTGCTGTTTTACTTGGGGACATGCTGCTTTATATCTCTCTACTGTAAATAGTTAAACACCTTGTCAGTGTTTGGGTGTAAGAGTAGTAACCACTGTGCATGGTAGAAAGATACATCTTTAGCATGCAATATATTTCTATAAATGACAAAAGTAACAAAATGTCGTCCCCTGCGATTCTTTGGTCAATAACTCACCAATCCACAAATTGCCTTTGTCAGCTTCTTGAATTTTGTACTTCTTAGTCTGTTGGTTGAATCTTCAATCATAGAATACATATCTGGGTCTAAAAATCTTATATGGATAAAAGGAGAATATAATTAAAAATAAAATACAATGTAATAGCTTTTTCAAGGCAAGTAGAAGGTGGTCAGAGGGAGGGGGAAGCCCTTTGCAGAGAAAATGTCACCTTGCCTTGCATGAGCAAAATTACATTGTCTCTTTAAGGGGTGATGCACAGATGTCATTTTTTTATTCAAGGTCTCAGTTCCTGGAAAGCGCATCAGCTGTTCAATTGCAAAGAAATATAGACATTAATAAATCAATAGTATTCAAAAATCTTGGTTTTCAATTATATATTGGTGGAAAACTCACTTCTCAATCTCTTTTTTAGCTTTCTTGTTCAGTAAATCCATCTTAGTCATCAGGTTGCATTGTGGAATTTCCAAAGATACCATAGCACTCAAAGCTGCCATTACTCCAGAAATAAACTGAAGGAAAAATACAGAGCAAACCGAAGATGTTTACTGCAATATCTCAAAGTAAGTTCAATTCATACTACAGAATTTTGGGCTGGCTCACTTGCCAACTAGCACATTTTGCACTGAATACAAGGGGTTTACTTACTAAAGCTGGGGAGTGCAAAATCAGGGTCACTTCAGCTTCTAATCTTGTTCATTTAAGCTTTGGCAACAAAACCTGGAAGCTGGTTAATTTGTATGCAGAAGTGAGCCTGACTTTGAACTCTCCAGTTTTATTAAATAAACCCCTAAGAGTCAAGTGGAAAGGGGCACATGGAAAATGTAATGCAAATGTAATTATTGCTGAATGACACTCTAAACGCGGCTAGCAGATGCATGTTTTATTGCACAGAAAACGCACATTACAAAAAAAAAAGTGCAGCCACTACTTTGCCGCACATAGGGTGGCCTATTTAAGTGATCGGACTGCCCTATGCTGTCAAGCAGGTATGAATGTGGCTTAATTGTAATTAGGAAGGTTACTTAGTGGTCAATACCCTGGGAAGAAATGCAATTTTAAGCAAGGTGTGCTTGGTTATCCCTTTTACTTTAGAGTAGCTGGTACCTAGAACAACAATTAAATGTTTCTATTTGGCCATGCTTACGATGGACTGAGGAAGGAGCTATATATAGGGGTTTGACCACTGCCTTCCCTCATCTAAACCAACAGAACCAGACAAGCCAGGATGTCAACATGGCTGAACCTTCTACTTAAGTGAACATGCTCAAATTCCAAGAACAGTATTCTGTTGGCTCCTATACTGACAGTACAGCTCTAGAACACTACATGAATTTGTTCACCGTTCATACTCTGTATTCACCTCCAGCTGTGAACCTTACCTTGAAAGATTCCACCATGAACTGAGAATCAACAAGAAAGACGCCACAGACTCTAAACTCCCACTGTTGGAGTTGTTCTACCAGGTACTTCATAACCGGCAGGTGAGTGTACAGCTCAATCTGTCCTAAGAAAACAAAAGTCAACTGTAAAGCAAACATTGCACTAACTATAGTATATGGTAGCGGTGGAGAATGGAAAAGATACTTTTATCCTAATAAGTGGCATTTAATACAAGTCCAATAAGAAGATCTCAAAAATATTATATGACTAAAGCCGAAACATTTTTCTCAGTTTTGAATAGAAAGGTGATGGGTTTTTTCTTGCAGTTTGCGTCCCTTTTAGGAAGACTCAGCCTATTTGTACTGAGAACATATACAGTAGGGATCGAAAGTTTGGCACCCCAGCTAAAAATTTGTATTAATGTGCATAAAGAAGCCAAGGAAAGATGGAAAAATCTCCAAAAGGCATCAAATTACAGATTAGACATTCTTATAATATGTCAACAAAAGTTAGATTTTATTTCCATCATTTACACTTTCAAAATAACAGAAACAAAAAAATGGCGTCTGCAAAAGTTTGGGCACCCTGCAGAGTTAATATCTTGTACTGCCCCCTTTGGCAAGTATCACAGCTTGTAAACGCTTTTTGTAGCCAGCCAAGAGTCTTTCAATTCTTGTTTGAGGTATCTTTGCCCATTCTTCCTTACAAAAGTCTTCCAGTTCTTTGAGATTTCTGGACTGTCTGTCACGCACTGCTCTTTTAAGGTCTATCCATAGATTTTCAATTATGTTGAGGTCAGGAGATTGTGAAGGCCATGGCAAAACCTTCAGTTTACACCTCTTGATGTAATCCCCCGTGGATTTCGAGGTGTGTTTAAGATCATTATCCATTTGTAGAAGCCATCCTCTCTTTAACTTCAGCTTTTTCACAGATGGCATCAAGTTACCATCCAAAATTTGCTGAAATTTTATTGAATCCATTTTTCCTTCTTCTCACGAGATGTTCCCTGTGCCACTGGCTGCAACACAACCCCAAAGCATGATTGATCCAACCCCATGCTTAACAGTTGGACAGAGGTTCTTTTCCTTAAATTCTGTGCCCCTTCTTCTCCAAACGTACCTTTGCTCATTCCGGCCAAAAAGTTCAATTTTAACCTCATCGGTCCACAGAACTTGTTTCCAAAATGCATCAGCTTGTCTATATGTTCATTTGCAAAGTTCAAATGATGATTTTTGTGGTGAGGACGTAGAAGAGGTTTTCTTCTGATGACTCTTCCATGAAGACCATATTTGTACAAGTATCTCTTTATAGTGGAATAGTGTACCACAACTCCAGTGTCTGCCAGATCTTTCTAGAGCAGTGGTTCTCAACCTTTCTAACGCCGCGACCCCTTAATACAGTTCCTCATGTTGTGGTGACCCCCAACCATAAAATTATTTTTGTTGCTACTTCAGAACTGTAATTTTGCGGGGGGAGGAACAGCGCCCATCGTTGGTGTCAGTGGGGGGAGGAACAGCGCCCCATCGTTGGTGTCAGTGGGGGGAGGAACAGCGCCCCATCGTTGGTGTCAGTGGGGGGAGGAGGAACAGCGCCCCATCGTTGGTGTCAGTGGGGGGAGGAACAGCGCCCCATCGTTGGTGTCAGTGGGGGGAGGAACAGCGCCCCATCGTTGGTGTCAGTGGGGGGAGGAACAGCGCCCCATCGTTGGTGTCAGTGGGGGGAGGAACAGCGCCCCATCGTTGGTGGAACAGCGCCCCATCGTTGGTGTCAGGGGGGAGGAACAGCGCCCCATCGTTGGTGTCAGTGGGGGGAGGAACAGCGCCCCATCGTTGGTGTCAGTGGGGGGGAACAGCGCCCCATCGTTGTGTGTCAGCGCCCCATCGTGGTGTCAGTGGGGGGAGGAACAGCGCCCCATCGTTGGTGTCAGTGGGGGGAGGAACAGCGCCCCATCGTTGGTGTCAGTGGGGGGAGGAGGAACAGCGCCCCATCGTTGGTGTCAGTGGGGGGGGGCGCCCCATCGTTGGTGTCAGTGGGGGAACAGCGCCCCATCGTTGGGTGTCAGTGGGGGGAGGAACAGCGCCCCATCGTTGGTGTCAGTGGGGGGAGGAACAGCGCCCCATCGTTGGTGTCAGTGGGGGGGGGAACAGCGAACAGCGCCCCATCGTTGGTGTCAGTGGGGGGAGGAACAGCGCCCCATCGTTGGTGTCAGTGGGGGGGTGTCAGTGGGGGGAGGAACAGCGCCCCATCGTTGGTGTCAGTGGGGGGAGGAACAGCGCCCCATCGTTGGTGTCAGTGGGGGAGGAAACAGCGCCCCATCGTTGGTGTCAGTGGGGGGGAGGAACAGCGCCCCATCGTTGGTGTCAGTGGGGGGAGGAACAGCGCCCCATCGTTGGTGTCAGTGGGGGGAGGAACAGCGCCCCATCGTTGGTGTCAGTGGGGGGAGGAACAGCGCCCATCGTTGGTGTCAGTGGGGGGAGGAACAGCGCCCCATCGTTGGTGTCAGTGGGGGGAGGAACAACGCCCCATCGTTGGTGTCAGTGGGGGGAGGAATAAGTGCCCCATCGTTGGTGTCAGTGGGGGGAGGAATAGTGCCCCATCGTTGGTGTCAGTGGGGGGAGGAATAGTGCCCCATCGTTGGTGTCAGTGGGGGGAGGAATAGTGCCCCATCGTTGGTATTAGTGACACAAATGATGGGGCACTATTCCTCCCACTGACACCAATGATACTTACCTTGCTGACCCCTGCTTCAGCCTGGGCTCGCTCTCTCCCTCTCCCATCTACAGCCTGCAGAAGCAAAATTTGCACTTACCTGTCAGCTGTCTTCCTTCTCTGGCCTCTCTCCTCTTCACTCGGTCCTGCAGCTCCCTCGATCTTCTTCGATCTGCGCGCTCTGCCGCTCGGCTCCTCCTCTCCAAGCTCCACCTCCTCGCCGGTGATTGGCCGCCTGTGTGTCTCTCCTGAGCTACAGTTCCGGTGGCCAATCAGCGGCGAGGAGGCGGAGCTGTTGAGTGATCCCGGAGGTGTGGCCAGGTTACAGGGGCAGCATATCATCCCGCCCACAGATCGCGAGACAGAGCAGCGGTGTCTCGGTTCCTAAGACCATCGGAAAAATGTTTTCCGATGGTCTTAGGCGACCCCTGAGAAATGGTCGTTCGACCCCCAAAGGGGTCGCGACCCCCAGGTTGAGAACCGCTGTTCTAGAGGGATCGTGCAGTCAAACGTGGGTTTTGAATTGTTTTTCTCACAATCCTGCGAGCTGTTCTGTCTGATATTTTTCTTGGCCTTCCAGATCTTGCTTTAACTTCCACTGTTCCTGATGACTGCCATTTCTTAATTACATTCCGAACAGAGGATATTGACATCTGAAAACGCTTTGCTATCTTCTTATAGCCTTCTCCAGCTTTGTGAGCGTCAACTATTTTCAGTTTCAGTTTTCTAGACAACTGCTTAGAAGAACCCATGGTGCTGATTGTTGGGGCAAGGTCAGATGAGTCTGGGCATTTAAAACCTTTGAGATTGACATCACCTGGTCTTCCAGATGATGATTGAGAACAATCCATGACACTGGCAGGTCTCAGCTTTGCCAAGGGGGCAGTGCATGCTATAAATTCTGCTGGGTGCCCAAAATTTGCAGACGCCATTTTTTTGTTTTCTGTTATTTTGAAAGTGTAAATGATGGAAATAAAATCTAACTTTTGTTGACATATTATAAGAATGTCTAATCTGTAATTTGATGCCTTTTGGAGATTTTTTCATCTTTCCTTGGCTTCTTTATGCACATTAATACAAATTTTTAGCTGGGGTGCCCAAACTTTCGATCCCCACTGTACATACATACACGTGATTTTGCATTTCCGGGTAGGGGGCGCGCGCCGCCCAACCTGCGCCACCATTGGCGGCTACAACTATCGATCACCGGGTCCCAGCCGGAGAGTCCCCTCCAGCACCTGGCGGTCGCCTAGGGTGAATGAAAGGGGAGAGATATGTGTGTAAACAACACAGCTCTCTCCCTTGTCAGCAACGACATGCTGCTTAGTATTGCTCTGCATAGCAGTATGTTTCCATAGTAAAACACACACGCAGCACACATAGTAATACAGCACACGGTTAACCATTTGATCGCCCCAGATAATGTTAACCTCTTCCTGCCCAGGTCCATTAGTACAGCGTCAGTGCTTTTTATTCTCACTGAGGATGTCAGTGGCAGTTAGTCAGCCCCCCCTAGTGTCAGAATGACCGCCATAGTCCCGTTATAAGTCGCTGACCGCCGCCATTACTAGTATAAAAAAAATATTTCAGTATATATACCGCCATTTGTAGAAGCTATAACTTTCACATAAACCAATTAATTTACATGTATTGGGATTTTTTTTTTTTTAACAAAAACATGTAGCAGAATACATTTTGGCCTAAACTTATGACAAAATTAGATTTTTTTTTACAGGATATGTTTTATAGCAAAAAGCCAAATATATATATAAATAATTTTGTTCAAAATTGTCATTTTTTTTGTTTTATAGAGCAAAAAATAAAAAGGTGATCAAATACAACCAAAATAAAGCTCTATTTGTGGAAAAAAAAGGATATAACTTTCATTTGGGTGCAGCGTTGCATTTCCGCACAATTGTCAGTTAAAGTAATGCAGCGCTGTATTGCAAAACATGGCCTGGTCAGGAAAGGGGGTAAATCCCCTGGAGGGCAAGTGGTTAAAGAGTAACTCCACTTTTGTTCAGAAAAAAACAATCCCCTCTGGATAAAATGTATATTGCAAAGATATGAACACTCTTTGTTGCCGATTCCTACCTTTTGTTATTCTGAAGAAATAGCTGTTTATTTGTGTCCATGTGTGGAGTGAATCTAATGGGAGTGTTTTCCTAATTATCAATCAGCTGCTGCACTTGCAGGACTCTCATGAGGAAAGTGGCAGGGACTGCATCCCTTTAGACGTGATTTCCTATCGGGGGAGTATCTCACCAAAAATGAGATTTTTGTTGTAAAATCTCATTTTTGCCTGAATCTGACTTGTATCTTAGTGCAGACTGCTGGGAAAATCAGTAAGCCAATCACACAAGCAGGAAATTATTTTTATGGGGGCCTTCTCTACACATTCTGTGTAAAACACCTCCAGGTAGCTGCATTTTACAGAATACAGAATGCACTGCAGATTGAATGTTATTAAAAATTACCTTTTCAATTACAAGATGACTTGTGTTGCAATTATATATATATTATGCTATATTATTTTTTTTTTACCTGCAAAAGTGGGGTTACCCTTTAAAAACAGTCATATGGCTTTGAAAGACGCTCTGAAATTTTATAATTCAGACTGCATTCAACACTAGATGTGTCTGGCCATTGTATTTATGTGCAAATGACAACCTAAGAGCAGATCTTATGAACCACATCTGACAACATAAATGTATTTACTATATTGGTGAAGCCAATCGCCACGTTTGATGCTTACCTGGGCAGTCAAAAAGAATATAGTCATCCTCTGTGTGCCCCAAACAACTCTCCAGCCAGTCAAAGTTATTGGCAAAATATTCCATACAATATACAAGTCCCCCATTAGGACCCAATCTGAGAGAGCTGTCTTCCATCACATCATCTACCTCTATAAGTTCCCGGATATCTGTAACAAAGAAAGAACCTAAAGTTTAAAAACAACTACACTAGTGATTAAAAACATTTGTCACCCAAGCAATGTGTAATTCCTAGCATATCCATGAAGTGAATCTCCAAACATTTTTTAGCTTTTAGTTTGAATAGAGTGAGGATGGAACGGACTTCACTCCCCATACCATTAACAGTTTCACCAAGACAGGAAGTGATAATAAATCTTTAAAACACAGACACAACAATAGAAACCTAGGAGAGGGGAGAAGGGTAAGAAACTCTGTTAGGCTTTTATTTTTGTAAGTGATCCTGTTGGGAAGATTCAGCCTATCACAGCACAGGCAATGACAGAAGTCACAGGAACAAACAGTGAGGGGAAATATCCCTAACGGAAAACAGTAAGCAACAAAAACTACGTTAAATCTCCTCCCTACACTATCAAAATACAAAGTTTTATCTTTGTTACATTTTAAATACATGTTTAGCAGCGTCAAGCCTCTAGGAAGGCAAGTAAAACATCATGTTATTCAATGCTCTTTTACGATACATCTATATTTATAGGTACTGAACAAACATTTTTTTTTATTTGCAACAGTCTACACAAGTGTTTAATTTTTTTTTTCTGTTAAAGGCAAAGTTCACCTTTTGGGACATGAAAAAAAAAAAAAAGTACATTTTATTATTTTTTTTTCACCCATGAGCCTGCAAAGCATTGCATCGATGATCAGTGGACCAGGGGTGTAATGTCAGACTTCTGCAGACTAGCCCTGCAGCTTTCAGCCCATACCTCTGAAAAGGGCTGACTGTTTACAAGCTGCAGAGGTTGTGGATGAACTATGAGAGCGCTCCTTCAGCTCCTTCGCAGTTCACTGAGAACTACAAGCCATCAGCCTCAATGGCTAACGGTACTTGTAGTTCTCACAATCACTGCAAATGAATGACGTGGCGGTGTGAGTGTGCCGGTAACATGCTCTGAAAGGTGAACTTATCCTTTAACCTCCCTAGCGGTAATCCTGAGTGCGGCTCGGGGTTAATTTTCAGTACCAAAAGCAGTAACCCCGAGCCACACTCGAGACTACACTGTAGTGTAACTTACTTTGTCCTGAGATCCCCCGATGTCCTCCCGCTGTGTCCTCAGGCCGATGCCAGCATCTGTCTTCCGGGTTCCCTTCCCTGCGAACATTGCGACGCAGGGGGACGGAACCGTCGGGAGATTCAAAAAAGTAAAAACATGATATATACACAATACATTGTAATCTGTTAGGATTACATTACTGTATCAAACCATTTCACCTCAGTTTTGTCCCTACTGCTTTGTCCTGTGCCCTGCCTGCATTTTTACTGTTCTTTCTGCCTGGAAACTTGAGAACGTCCATGGCATCCAAATAGCATCCCTTTAGGTTAAAAGCGGTTTTAGACCAACTAGAAAACAGCAATAGCGAATTAGAATCACTTGAAGAATTCAGTGATAATGATTTGTGGGGAAATTCGTCATCAAACACTGAAAGTGATGACAGCGACGATTCTGCGACTGAGCTAAGTGATGTGTGAACTTGGTGCTCTATTTCAAATGTCAGTAGTTTTGGTTTGATTACATTATTGAATTAAATGTATTATTATTATAGTATTTTTTATAATTATTTATTATATTATAATTTATGATTTTGTGTTTCAAACTTTATCATACCCTGGATGTTTACTAGATTCTTATTTGGACAGATTTAAGTGAGTTATTCCTAAGAATTACAGGCCTGCAATATAAAACAACAAATTTCCATGCAAAACAATATACCGCTTTGACATTCAAAAATATTGACACAATTAGACTGCCGGGGAGGTTAAGGCAGCATTTAAAATTTTGCCGAATCTCAAGGCACGCCTATTCTAAGTTGTAAAAAAAAAAAAAAAACTAATAGTTTTCCACAAAACTGACTAGCATTCTACCGCTTCTATTCTCCCTCCCTTTCTCTGTCTTTGCTAATGGGAACCCAAGGGTGAGAGAGAGAGAGGGGCAAACAAAGATGCTGTACAGGAGCCCGATGTCCTCCTTATCAAGCAATGACATCATTGGCTGTTACGATGCCAATGGTTGGCCAATGCGGTGTCCAAGGTTATAAAGCTGAACAATAAAAGCCTGTGGCTTTGTGTAACAAAAAGGCAGGTTTGATCCAGTAATTATTAACACCAATAGAAAGAACGGATCTTCATTTTCTTCTTCATTTTTATAAATTATACATGCGGACATTATAATCAGTATTTTTTTCCATAGAAAAAAGTTGCTGCTTTTGGATACTGCACTGAAGTTATGTTTTGTGGTTAAAGAAGAAATACTAATCTTCATTATACTTAAAAATGGCTTTAATTTTTTTTAAATTAAAAACATTTTAATTAATAAATATACAATATATATATAAATGTTTTAATAAATATACAATATAGAAGTACTGTATAAATCCTGTAACACGCTCACAGCAGAATTACACCCAAAAGCAAACATTTATTATATTGTACTGTAGCTTAACAATTCTTAGAAGTGATGGCTGCATTAGTTTTCTTTTTTAGGCTTGTCTTTTTTGTATTTTTCACCTGATGTGGCCAATATGGCAACCCAGACATTAGTCAGTTTTTTTCGTTCAACCAGCCGGTTGAGAAGAAAAAAAGAAAACAACCTGACCCAATTCCCCCATCCACACACTCGAGGTGGATGGAGAAATCCTCCCTGCTGAGCTATTGTATAGTCTGCAGTGCTGATCGAGAGGGAAAAATCTGATGGAGCAGTTGCACAGAAGTCGTTCTGTAGATCGATCTCTGTACAACCACAGTGCTCATACATGGATCAAAATTTGGTCAATCACTGCTAAACCAGCAGAATGTCAATTCATGCATGGCCAGCTCAAGTCTGTTGTTTTTCAACAAAACAAGCTGTTGCAGCAGTGAGAGGATTGAGACAAACCATTTATAACTAACAGGGGTGCTTACAATTATTAGCTTTTTTGTTTTTTATTTAAAACCTTTATCCCAAATGGAAAAAATATGGCTTTAACTGCTAGAGAGGTTTTTTTTTTTCTTGGGAGAGTGCATGTGATCAGCACAGTGCCAATCAGCACTGTCCAGACAGAGGTCAGGGGTTTTGCATCCTCCCAGAGTAGAAAGAAGACTCCTCCTACAAGCTTTAACCAGTGCTCTGCTAAAGTCACAAGACTGCTCTAACTGCTGTTGAGAAAAGGTATTTAGCAGTTTATATTTACTAAAATAATTGCATTTCTATATTCTGTGTACTACGGGAGCCCAGATATAGTGAATGCAGGGTCCTGGGTTTAGTAACACTTTAAAGCGGTATAAAACCCAATACCAAAATTGTAATATATTGCAGTTTACCAGTTCTTAGATGTGGTGGCTGCATTACTTTTATTTTTTTTGTTTTCACCTGGTGATATGGCCAGCAACACACCTCCTGTATTACAGTGCCCCCCACTCTGGATGAATGAGCACAGGGGCATCTTCGGACAGCGGCATTGTCAGACTGGGGGAGGTAGTTGTTAGATGTACTAGCAGATTTAGATACTCTAACAAATTTAAGCCAAACTTCAACTAATAATTTATAGCTAATACTTTATAAAGTGTGTATGTGGCTACAGGTTCAGTCTGTCTTATCAGGTGGACATTTGAAGAGGAGGAGCAGAGAAGTCAGGATGAAACAGCCTTTTTTACACAATGCAGAGGATTAACCCCTTAGGTTCCACAGTGAGTAGAACAAGCATGCTTTGCTGCATATACAGACTGTTTGTACTGTTGTGGGTTTAGTAACACTTTAAGCTACTTAAAAACAGTAAAGTATCCATTTACCAGCCATAACAGGATATTCAAAGTGCTCTGCTGCAGGATCCAGATTAACCACTTGAACAGAGCGATTCAGAGACTCACAGTGCTGGACCAATGTAGAACAGTAGGTGCTCTAGAATGAAAACACACACCACAGCCAGGTGATTAGAAGAATAAAGTAGATATAAATATAACAAAGATGAAACTTTGCAAACAGATATTGCAGATATGATTAGTAATAGTATTTTAGAAAGTGTGCTATGGCGTAGAAGCAAAATAGTTGCCATTATTGCATCCTTAACCAGATTAGCTGATGAAGTGTTTTCTGTGCAAGCTCCTTCCTCTGAATCATTTGAGTTGTACTAGTTGGACCCTTAGATGTCTATGGGGATTCTTAGTCTTTTCAGCATAGTCAATAGCAGAGTGTGGAGTCCAGAAGCATGTGAATATTAGGGGGGAGCATGAATTTTACAGCAATATATCTGGTGAAGGAACTAAATGTAACATCTCCCAAAGTGGTGCAAAATGCACTTTCTGAAGTTCTTATATAAAGCACCAGTGAAGTATAGTTTGAGAACTACACTGACCACCAATGAAAGGGAATTACACTGACCGCCATGGTAATTCGGGAACTACATTGACCACCAATATAAAGAAAGAACAACACTGACCACCAACATAAAGCGGGAACTACACTGACCACCAATATAAAGCGGGAACTACACTGACCACCAATATAAAGCGGGAACTACACTGACCACCAATATAAAGCGGGAACTACACTGGCCACCAACGTAAAGGGATACGATAGTGTCTGCAATTAACCATCAATGTACGAGGACACTACACTGGCCACCAATATAAAGAAAGAACTACACTGACCACCAACATAAAGGGATATGATAGTGTCTGCAATTAACCGTCAATGTATGAGGACACTAGACTGGCCACCAATATAAAAGGCGGGGAACTACACTGGCCACCAACGTAAAGGGATACGATAGTGTCTGCAATTAACCATCAATGTATGAGGACACTACACTGACCACCAATATAAAGAAAGAACTACACTGACCACCAACATAAAGGGATATGGTAGTGTCTGCAATTAACCGTCAATGTATGAGGACACTACACTGGCCACCAATATAAAGCGGGAACTACACTGACCACCAACGTAAAGGGATACGATAGTGTCTGCCAACGTAAAAGGGGAATGACTGCAATTTTTTTTTTAACTGCGACTATCTCATAGGCCGCTAATGTAAGGGGCTCTTCTACTCACCACCAATGTAAGGTGGCATGTCTCCCCTAACCACTACTGTAAGGGAACAAAACAGTAAAAAATAAACCACTACAGTGGAGCCTACGGACACTTCAAGGGTTTAAATGCTTGTTGATCTAAGGCCTAATGCACACTGGGCATTTGGTCATCTCTCCCAGATGCCTTTCCTCCTGGTAGCAGTGAAAAAAACGCTTGAAAATGTGTGTGAACGCATTCAGGGGCATCAAGTGCTTAGGGGCCAATTCAGTTCATTGCAAAGCAGGGAGAAAAAATAGTCAGATAGTAAAGTAAAAGTGGCACACATTACACATTGTTAGACACATATTTAAACCTTTGATTGCCCCTAAATGTTAACCCCTTCCCAGCCAGTGTCATTAGTAAAATGTCAGTGTACAGTATTATCACTGATCACTGTATTAGTGTCACTAACAACGTCAGTGTCAGTTGATGATCCTGACAGATAGTGTTTATTAGCGCCAGATTGTCCACCACACTATCACAGTCCCACTATAAGTCACTGATCACCGCCATTACAGTATAGCATATATAGCTGCATAAATATCAATATATACCATAGTTTGTAGATGCTATAACTTTTTCAAAAACCAATTAATATGCACTTATTGGGATTTCTTTTTTTTTTTTAACAAAGATGTAGCAGAATACATTTTGGCCTACATTTATGAAGAAATTTGATTTTTTTTTATTGGATATGTTTTAGAACAGAAAGAAGAGAATATCTTTTTTTCCCCCAAAGTATTTTCGTTTATATAATAAAAAGCTCAGTGGTGATAAAATACCACCAAAAGAAAGCTCTATTTGTGTGAAAAAAATGATATATTTCATTTGGGTATAGTATTGCATGACCGCACAATTCACAATTAAAGTAGCACAGCGCTGAATAACAAAAAAATGGCCTGGTCATGAAGGGGGTAAAACCTTCTGGTGTTCACGTTGGTAAAAAAAAGAGGCTTCGGGGGGGTGGGTCAGAGCAAGAAAAAAGGTAAATTTTAAGTCTAATTCCTCTACCTCCTATATATAGGCCCTTTTCACACCAGTGCGCTTTTCCAGGGCGACAGAAGTGCATGAAAACTATTTCCCTTTAAATCTTATGTAAGTGTTCACATCACTACGTTACGGGTGTGCCACATTTTGAAAAGCCCCGCAAGTTGAATTTATGGTGCACTTTTCAAAAACGCACCTTCCATTGTAAGTCAATTGGAAAGCATCGAAAGTGCATCACTTTGTGAAAGGGCCCATACCCTTGAAGTGTGTGTGTGGGGGGGCGGGGTCTGGGAGCCACTTTGTGAAAGGGCCCATACCCTTGTGGGTGGGGGGAGCTGGGGGCCAGTTTGTGAAAGGGCCCATACCCTTGTAGTGGGGGGAGAGCTGGAGGCCACTTTGTGAAAGGGCCCATACCCTTGTAGTGTGGGGGAAGCTGGGGGCCACTTCGTGAAAGGGCCCATACCCTTGTAGTGGGGGGGGGGCACTTTGTGAAAGGGCCCACACCCTTGTAGTGTGGGGGGAGCTTGGGGCCACCTTGTGAAAGGGCCCATACCCTTGTAGTGTGGGGGAAACTAGGGGCCACCTTGTGAAAGGGCCCATACCATTATTGTGGTGGGGGCCACTGCAGGGGGGATTTGTATTCCATGGAAAATACTTTTTTCACACATAGAAGGGTGATGACCAATGCTCTCCATACATCATACACTGTACTCTGTAGAATGTTCTGCAATTCGCTGATCCTAGTCATGTCCCCCCCGGGTCTACAGACATGTAATCATCAGCATGGCTCCCTGATCACTACATTGGACGCATAGGTCTCCTCTCCATCAGCCTGGAGAAGAAGTGAGTGTCCAGCCATGCCACCTAATATCACGGCCCACCTCTCACCTTCCCGCTTCCCGCCGGCCCCATCACCAGCTGCGCGTAGCGAGGCATTATCAGCACCGGTGCCCCGACCAACTCCACCACTACATCACAGGTGATCTACTTCCGGGATCAGGACGGAGGCCGCCATGGGTCAAACAGCTTCGCGTCATTCCTGCACGCCCATACCGGGTACCACAAACTGCATCCAAGTACAACAACGTTCTATATAAGTGATTACTATTATGACTACGCCTCCAATTATTATTATACCAGAACGGCCAATATTAGCGCTTAACAAGTGCTTGGCAGCCGAACAACGCAGTACGCATGCGCGGATGCTGATGCTGCTGTTGCTGTCATGTCCCCTGTGTGCAGATAACCATGGAGACGTGTATTCCTGGAGAGCGGCCTGAGCCCTGAGGATGGAGGATCACACACACACCCATGAACATAGTTCCACATCTGGATCTCACTCCTCACATGTTAGGCCATGCCAGAGGAAGCCGGGAAGGTGAGGACACTTACCTTGATTGCGCCACCATCTTCTCATAGACAATTGGAGATTTCTGTTTGTTTTCAGTTTCTCGATGGACAAGCAGAAACATGTAGTGTATTCAAAATGTGTTTATGAAACTGACATTAAAATCAAAACCCACCAGAACGCGGTGTGCGAAACCAGTGTTCAAGTGGAGCTCCACCCAGAAGAGGAAGGTCTGCTTGAAGGACTGCTCCCCATTAAGGATTGGCATTTTGGGGGGGCGGAAGGGGGAGCGGGTACCCACATTTGACAGGTACCCGCTCCCATTTCCAGTCCAATCGCCTAGGCGATCAGAAGCGGAAGGTGTCCTCCCTCCCTGTAGTCTTGTGGGACATGTAACAGGTCCCAAAAGACTACAGGACCATTCATGAAGCGCAGCGCTACTCGCACATGCGCAGTGGGTACCGCCGCAAGCTGTCACAGCCGGGTGCCCACACTGAAGATGGTGGCCTCCTGGAATACAGGACGGCCGGTGAAACGGGCTGCGTGGAGGACACCGCAGGACCAAGGGACAGGTAAATGGCTGTTTTTTAAAAGTCAGCAACTACAGTTTTTGTAGCTGCTGACTTTTATTTTTTTGACAGCGTGAGTGGAACTCCGCATTCAGTGCACGTTTCCCACACCACATTCAAAATGCACTGGGTGTGCGATCTGCTGCGGGTGTCAGTATATTCCTAACAACACCCCAAATGCAGATTGCAAATGCAGTGTGTCTGCTTCCACCAGATAGTGTGGTACCATGCGTTTTGGTGTTGTGAATTTTTGAAAAGTAGTACATGCGTGTGATTTCAGTCCGTTCAAATGAATGAGCTGAAAATTGCTCCACACTTTTTCGCTCAAAGATGAGGACCACATTCTTGTGCGATTCAGGTGTGAATCAGCCCTTAGGTTCGGTTCACATCTATGTGGCTCTGCGAGTGACGTTTGCACAGGCAGAGCAGCTGCTTCATTTGATTGGGCTGCTGTGTCTGCGTTTCTTGCAGAGAAAAGGTCTCTGCACCTTTTTCAAAACACGGACGCACGGAAATCGCATGGTGCTTCTGTATCATGCTTTTCCATGTGCGAGAACCAAAACCATGTTTTTCAGCGCAGGAGGTGCCATTAAGAGTTAGCTGCAACCCCATACGTTTTCTGTGCAGCACCATGTGTTGTGTACAGCTGCATGCCAGTGCGCTAATGTGTGCGATTAAATTAATTCCCACACCCCGCACAGATATAAACTTAGGGTTAAAGTGGACCTTCATGCAAAGATCATACCTGTTACAAGATCACAGTTTTTGGGGTGGGGGGAAGCAAATATTGTTTTTGGTGGTACTGGCTTCCACTCCCTCATTCTTCACCAAGGCCAGAATGCAATACCCTCGGCCCTCATGCAGCTTCCACATCCCAGGAGGCTACAGGTCCAGTCTCACAGCAGGTCACCATCTTGAATATATGCACAGTAGGGGGCAGTTGTGAGTGATCAGGAAGTGACAGTTGCCTCCTGAATGTAAAATGGCAGCTTAGAAATTCAGAAGTCCTGTGAATAAATAAGTGCATGGAAAACAGTGCTGGACCTCATGGGCTGGTAATTATGTGTTTATTCAAATGGAGCTAAAATTGGAAAAAAAATTGCAAGCAGGCAGGCTCTTTATTGTAGAATGAACACAGCTCTGTTTACATTTCGGCAAATGGATGATTGCACTCTTGCACATGCGCAGGACAGATGTCATCCCTTATTAGCCAGTCAGTTGAAGACCAACACCCAGAAGAAGCTGGAGAATACTTGTAGCTGCTGACTTTTGGTTTGCACATAGCCAGGTGGAATTCCTCTAGGTATTTAAAGTGTATGAAAACTCAACAATGATCTGCTCTTCTTAGCTATCATATGATCTGTCAAATATACCATTGAAAAATGGGAGCCATGATATCCAAGGACCGTAACATATTACATTTTTGTTCATCAGTTTAGATGCACTGTAATAGATTTAAAGGTCAGTCGAGGAAGGAAATAGTATGGAAGGATGCCCTTCCAATATGATGTACAATACAACAAGTAATGCACAGATTAAATATATATATATATATTTGAAATAACAAATGCTCCCACCAGTCCCCTATTTATTTAAGCACTTCATTTCCACACAGGATTTTGTTATTTAAAGCAGAGTTCCACCCAAAAGGGGAAGTTCCGCTTTAAAGATTGGTCACCCACTCCCCATCAAGGATTGGCACCTTTGGGGAGTGGGTACCCGAAATTGACAGGTACCCGCTCCTACTTCCGCTGCGATCGCCTAGGTGATCGGAAGCGGAAGGTGTCCTCCCCCCTCCCTCTCCGTAATCTTGTGGGACACGTAACAGGTTTCAGAAGATGACGGGGCCATTCAGGAAGCGCAGCGCTACTCGTGCATGCACAGTAGGCACCCAGCTGTGAAGCCACAAGCTATCACAGCCGGGTGCCCACACTGAAGATGGCGGCGCCTAGAATACAAGATGGCAGGTGAAACGGGGCACGGCGGTATTGTTGGACAAATGAGTGGCTGTTTTTTTTAAAAGTCAGTAGCTACAGTTTTTGTAGCTGCTGACTTTTATTTTTTTACAGATTGACTGGAACTCCACTTTATTAAGGTATATTGTATATATGCTGATGTGTTTTAGATAGCAGCGCTACATCATCATTTTTTTTTTAATTTTGTGCAGCCATGTGGGAACACATTAATGTTAGCTGCAGCATTTATTCACTGTCACTTTATTGCACATTTAATAGTTGGCACAGGAGTTTTCTCATTGTTTTTATAACATAGTAAACCTACTTCCTATTTGCTAATACAAATGTATGTCACCTAAATATAGTAGTATAATTGCTTGTGATTACTTTACATAAAAAAGCTGAAGTTGAAAAACAAACATTTTTTTCTCTACAGTGGCATTGGAGGGAGGGCTGGCTGAGGAAATTAATTAGATCAAAGGAGGTTGAGAAGGATGTTCTAATGCAGACCATAGAAGGGCCGTTTATCGGCAGAATTGTCAGCTGATAAACGAAAAATCGGTCGGCCCCGTTGCCGATGCTGCCACCAATGTCCATGAAAAACGGCCGTTTGTCGTGGATTTTCCAGCATGACCGATAAAAATAAACGAGAAGATCCACGAAAAACGGCCGATGGGCTGGCCCCACTAACGGCGTGAATATCGGCCGATAAACGACCCGTCTATGGCCTGCATTAGTTGTTCTCTGAATGATCCTCGAAAGTGTTATCTTGTCTGTGACATGCACTAGATAAGGTGCAAGGGAAATATGTTATAAGAAAGGTAAGGTACATATCAGGGGAGAGATCTGAGATGAAAGTATTAGTTCACCTTTACCAGAAACCTGCCTGTGCAGATAAGGGGTGTCTGTGGATAAAAGAAAAGCGTGTGTCTCTGACTAAAGTTGAATAAAACCCTTGTTATAGGTGTAGGTCATTTATGTATCTCAAGAAGCCTGACTGAAATACTCCCAGGACGTTGCTAGAACGTTGCTAAGTTAGGCCTAGTCATTACTGCTCACCTCCACATCACAGGAGAGAGCTTTTTCTCTGAATCAAAGCCACTCACATGCTCTGTGTCTCCTCTGATGTAGTAGTTCTGAGATCAGCATATGAGAGCTTACTCCTGTGATGGTGGAGGTGAGCAGTAATGACTAGGCCTCACCTAGCAATCCCATCGGAGCTTTTCAGTCCGGTTTCTGGAGGTATGTAACTAGCCTACCCCTATATTGCAGAGCATTATTCAACTTTAATCAGAGCTGCACAGTTTGTTTTTATCTGCAAGACACCCCTTATCTGCATTGGCAACTTTTTGGTAAGGGTGAACTATCCCTTTAAATAAATAGTGGTGTAAAGAGAGTACTTTGTTGTTGAGCAGATAGATAGGCTGCATTAGTTATAGTCAGCAATGACAAGATGGGCTTTCTGGTTCTAGAACAAGTCAGTAAAGGCATAGAAGGTCTGAGCTTGCTATATCTCCCCCTCAAGGTTTATGAGTGATCCAGTCATCGACTCTTGCAAGGGTAACAATTCCAGGTAGATTCTTTTGTTATCTAAAGTTGCTATGCCTTGTATAAATGTTTTTTGGGTTAATGGCAGGGTGGATTTGATTTAAATCAAGTTGATTTAAATCACTATTTAAATCACTATTTAAATCACGATTTATATCACTAGTGAAAAGGCTCGGTTTACATAATAATTTTTAAAGAGCAACTGTCATCTCTGTCCCGCAGCGGCTCCTCCTCTGATCTGCTGTTGACTCACCGACATTCCCATTCACTTTAATGGGACGGCTGGTGATACGGCAGGGACACAACAAGGTGAGGGACGTGGCGGCAGCAGGTGAGTGGATGCCCCCTAACAGGCGCTGCCATGATGGATCTAAAATGACAGGTACTCTTTAAATGTAAGGAATCCGACTCATTCTTGCTGGTAGTTAGAGTCTTTAATATATGCAAACCAAATGAAGGTTTCCTTTTTAGAAGAATAAGCAGTCAGGTCAGTAAAAGAGCGATATCAGAACCGATTTTAGGTTAATCACACGTAGTTGGAGAACTACTCAGATTCTTTTATTTCATGTTTTTCTCATGGTTACTGTGAAATTGTGTGAATGCATCAATGCAGTGCATGTTATCTCAGCTTGCAGAGCTTGGATTCATTGAATGAGTTTACCAAATATGTAAATATTGCAGAATATACAGCCTCATGCTACATAACTAAGCTAAATTTCATGCTGAATAAACAAAATTATTAATGGATCTTAAATAGAAAACTATCTTTAGATAGATTTTTACTCCAAAAGCATTTTATTAAAACAAATTTGATAAAAATAAAAAAAAATTCAATTTAAATTATTAAAAAAAATTCTTGTTTTGATTTAAAAAAAAAAAAGTCATTGATTTTTATCCACTCTGGTTAATGGGTGTATACTGTATTTTCTTATGTTGGTCATACGCTATACAATTTTCTGTCCAATTTCTGCCCAATTTGTTTAGGATTTACCTTTAAATATGTAGTGCAAGAGCCACCTAATTGGATACAATCAAAAGTGTTGTTAGGTTTGACCTCCTATTATGTGGTTTTTGGTAAATCTAAACCAAATATCTCAAGAAAATTGTATAAATGTATGGCCAGCCTAAGGCTGGCCATACACTATACATTTTTCTGTCCAATTTCTGCCCAATTTCCTTTAGATTTACCTTCTACTATGTAGTGCAAGGGCTTGCTTAATTGGACACAATTGAAAGTGTGGTTTAGGTTTGACCTCCTATTATATGATTTTTGGTAAATCTAAAGCAGTTTTCTAAAGAAAATTGAGATTTTTGGTTTAGATTTACCAAAAAGCATATGATTTACCAAAAAGCATATAATAGCAGGTCAAACCTAACAACACTTTAAATTGTATCCAATTAGGCAGGCTCTTGCACTACATAGTTGAAGGTAAATCTAAAGGAAATTGGCGGAAATTGGCAGAAATTTGACAGAAAATTGTATAGTGTATGGCCAGCATTAGGCTGTCAGGTTAGCATGGCTTCTTCTTTTGAATTAGGCCTCTTGCACACTGCTTCCTAAAAATTTAACTTTTTAGACAAACATGCATTTTTTTTTTTTACTGATGTAAATACAGACCATCTCTTCCAACATGCGCTGTGTATGGATCAGTAAAAAAAAAAAATGCAGAAATCTGAGTTGCCAGTTAGTATTTGTTTGTGTATATGAAAAAATATGTGCATGTGCCAAATTTCCTTCATTACGAAAAAACCCCCCAATATTCTTTATACATGTGTGCTTACCTGTAAATATGCACAAATACATGCCAGTGATATACAGCCCATCCTCACGTTTTTTTTGCCAGGAATGTCTGACATTTATACATCAGTACGGTGTGCAAAATGTCTTACTGTCTTCTGGATGTTGTAATAATGAGCTAAAGTTTCTGTGTAAGTACAATCACTCGCCATTGTTATGGTGCCAGTAAAATCATGTTTTCTGTTTCTATAGGACTATGGAGTTCGGTCAGAAGAAGCCCCCGCAGAGTGGGTACCTAGTAATCAAGTTCAAGTGTTTTTTCTTTAGAATTTTCAGTCATAGCCACCATAAGTATAACATTTCTGTTTTTTTCAGGGCTACATAATAATAGTGTTTGTGGACAAAAGACTGTGGAAAGAGATTGTGGAACATCAGAAAGTGCTCCTGTCATTTCACAAGTCAGAACAATACAAATCCCCAAGTCTATGAAGGATGCAGCCTTTCTTAAGGTATAATTTTTTTTAAAGAATACTTAAAGTGGAATTTTAGTCAGAATATTAAGTCCTGCTAGATGACTTCAGGCTGCCCCCCATTTATAGGTGTAGCTATGTAAAACATTAAAAATAAGTGTCTGTACTGTTTAATATCCAGTAATACACTGTTTTGCCTTGCTCTACACATGCTCAGTGGCTCTTTGTTTTTATGCACTGTGCCAAATTTGTAGAGGTTCATCTTTTGATATCCTAAAGATTTAATGCTACTCAGGACTCTTGGCTTCAGCAAAATGGTGCTCTTCAGCAAGAAGAAACAGGAACAATTCTGGAGGCAATTTACAGCACACACTAATTTTGGTGGCAGAACTATTAATGCAGAATGTATGTTCCTTGCTGAAATTATTTTTTATCAAGATGTTATGGGTAAAGTTTCACTTCAAGCCAGGTACACACTGACAGTTTTTTTTGTGCAACCAGCTGGCTGAATGAAAAAAACCTGACAGATCGCTGTACCAACACAAGTGATGTTCATGCGGCAATCTACTTTGCTGTTCTATTGGGTTCTGACGGGGGGGCTCTCCCACACCTGCCAGAATTCACAAATCAGTTCTCGCAGCCACTTCCATTTATTGGAAATAAAGTGTTAAGAATGGTTCAGAGTAAAAGATGTCTTTACACATATCTTTACTTGAAATGTATGTAAACGTGTTTTTTTAAACTATGGTTGTATATTTTTATTTTAGCACCCAGATCTAACTCTGGGTCAGAAACGGTACTTATGCAGCATTGCCAAAATCTACAGCACCAGGAACATGAGAGCCATACTTGAACATCAGCTGCAGTCACAGATAAGATGTGGTATGGAATATCACAGAAATTTGTATGTATATAACAGATGCACGGAGGAGGGAATGGGTAACGTGACTGATACCGGAAATATCTTATTAAAACTTGTGGAATTTCTCCATATTAAAATGCTTCTTTTTAAAGTAGTTAAACTCTTACATATATCTAGTGAAGTGGCTGGCCTCAAGTGATACACAGAGATTAAACACATCCTCCTACATAAGGTGTACCTGTTTACCTGCAGTCTCCTCTTCTCTACATCCGTTTGAAGTGCTAATTTTGCAGGTCCCTCCCCTGTCACCATTTTTCTCTTGGTGTCAGAAAAACTTCTCATAAGTGACTCATGCTGATAGCTGAGGAACAAGCAGCAGACACTTAGTGCTCTTAACTGAGACAAGTACACACTGTAGTGGGATATGCTTTTGTTCATATTTCATGTCTGAGGTTTACAACCACTTTACTTTCAATGGTTTTTATTGAATAGTTTTACAAAGGAAAAAAACCAAAAACAAGAAATATAAATGAACAATGTTCCATCGTATGTACAGATAGAAACACCAAAACAACAAATTCTGCCACAACAATTGGCAGTTAAGACAAGGCATAAATCACGACCAATTTGAGGGCAAGTATATCTCGTCTTGCCAGCACAGAATATACAATGCAGAGCAATACAAAAAGAATAAAAAGAGCAAAGGAAAGAGTAGAAAGGAAAATCCAGATGAGGGTCATTGAGGCACAGAGAGGTACTGGATCCACGGGTTCCCATGTGTTATCTAATTTCTTCAAGTTATTGTTAGGATACAGGAGAGTTTGTCATTAATCATGATCCAGTTAAGTTTCTTTTTAATATAATCAAGTGGAGTGACCAATTGCCTCCAGTGTCTAGCTATAGTAATTCTCACAGCCAGAAACATATAGGATATCAATTTATGGGATTTCTTGGGAACATTATCTGGAAATTTGTGAAAGAGCGATCGATGTCTCCGGGGATCTGCGAATATTAATACCCGTCACTGAGTTTACAAATTGAACATTCGAATCCAAACTCTAGTTACAAGAGGGCATTGCCACCAGATGTGAAACATAGACCCAGCCTGGCAACAATGCCAGAAACACAACGCAGAGGCAGACGGATGCATCTTTGCAATCTGGGTAGATACCAGATACCATCTCAACAAAGCTTTATAGTTAGCTTCAATTAAAGTAGTATTGATAGAAATTATGGACAGTGCCAAGGTGATATCTTACCAATCCGATAATTCATAATTGACAGCTAAATCTTTTTCCCAATGTTCCATGTAAGGGAGTTTACAATTTGGGTCAGTGAGGAGAGCATATATTGCAGAGACCTGGCCTCTTGGGGAATCCTTATTCCTGCAGGAGAGTTCAAAGGTGGTGAGCAAAGGTGACTCGTCCAATAAAGCAAGCTTTGAGCGGAGAAATGAGACAATCTGGTTGTATCTAAATATTTCAGTAGTAGACATATGTAACTTGCCTTTAAAATATTGCAGAGAATGTATACAAGCACCATTAAGATAGTCTCCTATCCGCAACAAGCCCTTACTGATCCACCATTGAAAAGGGGCCGGTGTCAATCCAGGCACAAATTCAGGGTTGCAAAAAATTGGAGAAATAGGCTTATGTGGTGATGCTAGTGACTTGCAGAGACATACTCTGTCCCAAACTGCCAAGAAGAACGACAAAGTGGGGCACAATATAGGAGGGCGTAATTGACTAGGAAGCTAGAGTAACACCCCAATAGCCAAAGGGTGACAAGAAAGAGCTTCTATAGAAACCCAATGGGGAGTATGTCAACCCAACCGTGGTATAAGCTAGTTGGGCTATCTGTGCAGCTTAGAAGTACACGTGGAGATTAGGAAGGCCAATACCACCCCACGATCTAGAAGCATATAACATCTTCTGGTTCATCCGAGGCCATCTGTTATTCCAAATAAAACGAAGAACCTCAGCTTGTAGAAGCTGTAAATCTCATCGCAGGATTGCTATTGGTAAGGTTCCGGAAGTAATATAGTATTCGAGGCAAAAATGTCATTTTAATGGAGTGGGGAGGGTAATTAGCCTGATAAAGTGTCTCAATGGAATTGGTAAGGTGTACTCCTAAGTAGGGTAAAGATTTATTCGCTACTGAAAATCTTAGGAAGCTTCTAAGCTGCTGTTCATCAAATATGGGTAAAGATACATTAGGGGCAGTCGTTTTTTTGAAAATTAAGGGAAAGCCCGGAAAGAGCAGAGAATTGGCGTAATAATGATAGTAAATTTCAAATAGTTATCAAAGGAGACGTAATATACTTAAGAACGTCATTGGCAAATAAGGCACATTTATGTTCCTGTTGGCCGCAATGGATGCCATGGATTTGGGGATGAGACCAAATTGCAATAGCCAAGGGTTCAATGCTAGCGCAAAAAGCAGCGGGGAAAGTGGACAGCTGTCTAGTCCCTCTGCGGATAGGGAACACCGAGGATTTGTAGCCGTTGATGGAGACCTGGGTCAAGGGATTAGCATATGGCGAATGTAACAGAGCAAGAAACGCAGGACCAAAGCCAAACGCCTGCAGGGTAGTAAATAAATATTCCCACGTTAGACTATCGAAGGCCTTATGAAGGTCCAGAGAAAGAAGTTAGAGTGCCCTAAAGAGAGGAGCATCCCTGTTGGAACGGGCAGCTGATATCAGGGTAATAGATCTACGAATCTGGTCCAGCGTTTGACGACCCAATAAAAATCCTGACTGATCTTTAGGAATATATTGTGCCAGAAAGGAATTAAGGCATACAGCTAGGAGTTTCGTTTAAAATTTTCAGGTCACAATTAATTAATGAAATAACGAAATAGGATGATAATTATGAACATCAGCAGAATCTTTATTGGGTTTAGGAATGACACTAATATATGCCTTATTCTCATATCTAAAGGGACCACACCTTTCTCTCGCAATGTCCAGCGTTTGACGACACGATTAAAATCTCGAATGATCTTTATGAATATATTGTGCCAGAAAGGAATTAAGGCGTACAGCTAGGAGTTTTGTTAAAATGTTCAGGTTGCAGTTAATTAATGAAATAGGATGATTATTATTAACATCAGCAATGATTTAAAGTACAGTGTCATATGAGGAAGTAAATGTTCACAAAACGTTTTGTAATACTGGTTGGGGAGGCCGTCAGGGCCTGGGGATTTATGTAACAATAGTAATTTAATAACTTTTAGGAGCTCCTCAGAAGTAATGGGTTGTTCCATAAGCTCTTTATGGGCTACTAGGCAAGGACTCTAGGAAGGATTGAATAGAAGAGGGTGCTGTTGGCAGCGGTGGACCATGTAGAGAAGCATAAAATCATGAAGTTCCCGAAGGATCTTCTGAGGATCCTGTGTGATAGTACCCCCCGTGTGCCGGAGTTTAGGTAGTGCAGAGTGAGTAAATTTGGGGGTAAGCTTGCGCGCAAGAAGAGAGCCCGGTCTATCCCTCTACGTAAAATATCTATGATTCATCCAGCGCAGTTGTTTTTCCGCCTTTGTGATGAGGCAAAGGTTAAGCTCCAGCCGAGCGTGTTCCACCTTAGATAAAAGGTCCGAGGTCGGGGCAATTTTATGTTGGGCAGCTGACGATTCATATTCTTTAGATTTGGTAGAAATCAACTTTTCGCTGGATTTTTTAATTCTGGAGGACAGCTGAATAAAAAAACCTCCAACGGAGGATTTATGAGCTGCCCAATAGAGGGATTCGTATCCCCTGCTTTGTTAATTGCAAAATAGGACTTGAGATGTTCACCCAGTTCCAAGCAACAGGCTTCACCACTTAGTAAGGACTTGTTTAATCATTTAAAGTGTGGTTTAATCATTTTAACCGTCAAATTAGAGAGCATTAAAAGTACTGGGTCGTAGTCCAACCAAGGTGTCGATGTAATTTTAGCTGAATGTAACTTAGGGATCATATCCGAGGGGAGGAAAACATAGTCTATACGAGAATAATGACTATGAGCCCTTGAAAAGCTGAAGTAGTCTCTAGAGGTGGGGTTGGCCTCCCTCCACGCGTCAATGAGGTCATAGCGATATAAAAGCAGAGCAAAATTGCGGCTTTGTTAGAAGGCAATTTAAGTTTAATTACATGGGATTTATTGAGTATATGGTCTAAAGCCAGATTTGAGTCCCCTGCCAATATCACATCTCCCTCTAGTTCTTTAAACAGAGACTTGAAAAGAGAACGGAAAAAGGCCACCTGGTTCGTTTTGGGGGCATAGTAAATAAGAAAAAGACACCATATTACCCCCTAAATTACCCTTCACCAGAAGGTATCGTCCTTCTCTATCCCTTAATAGTTTAGTTTCAGTAAATGATAGCCATTTAGAAAAGCAGAGCGCCACCCCTCTCTTTTTTTCAGAGGCATTATGTCAATTAAGACTGCAGTTTCGTTTGTGTTCTTACCTTTCTTGCTGCAGTCCTGTTTCTGATCCCTTCTCATGTTTGTCTGTACTCTTCTATGGGCGTCACCTGCTGTCCTCTGGGTTTTATTTCCTTCCCTTCCATCACTTCCTGTGCCGCCTCCTTGTCTGCCTGTCTATATAAGATGTGCTCGAAGTAGGCCACTTTGCCTGAGAAACTTCTTAGTTGTTGGCGCTCCCTTGTGTTTCTGCTGTGAATTCTGTATTGTCTATCTGTGTACCAACCCCGGCTTCGTTCCTGACCTTGCTTGTTTTCCGCCTGTCCTGACCTTGGCTTGCCTATTGGATTCCCTGTGTCTTCTCCTGTTGTACCCTGCTCCCGCTAGCGGTCTCCTCCACCTCAGCTGGGTGTACCTGGGGGCCGTGACCTGGTCCCAGCCTTCTACAAGTCCATCCCCACCATCAGGGGCCCTGGTGAACAAGCAGGCTGGGGCTTAGACTCTGCGCCCTGGGGAACCCCAAGTTGTGGATCAATAAAGCTCACTACCACAGGTGCTGACACATTAGTGAAAAAACAAGTCGGACAATCCCTATGAATATATCTGGGAGTAAAG